ATTATTGCTGTACAAGCCAGTCTTGCGAGCCACCTTTTCCGCCTTCTTAGCCTCTTTCTCCTTCTCTTTCTCCCTCTTTTTGGCCTCCTTTCTTGCTTCTTTCTCCTCCCGCCTGAGGCGCTCGTCTTCGCTGGCCAAGCTTAACCGGATAGCTTCCATCATCATCATTTCCTCAAGATCGTCAATTCGATTGCGCCTCGAGCTCGATCGAGCAGCAGCTGGGTTTCCAGCTCCTTCTTCGGCAGAAGCAGAATCGGTGTCTTGTCCAGTTGCTCGAGGTGTCCGATCAGCACCCGTACGCTCCGTCAAGAAAGCCAATGCATTGAGAGCGGGTGAAGCGGTCCGGCCGCTATACCCTTCTCCACCGGTGGCTCTTCGCATTCCGCGCCGTCCGATGCCAAACCCACGAGTGTCACTCCCAGATGCACTGGGGTTGATCAAATACGCCGCGGTGTGAAGGGCAGTGGCTGCCGCAGATCGACGTGCGGCGTGGGCTCGTGCGTTCGATAATTTGGTGGCCCAGTCCGGTCGAATCCTATCCGTTGTCACCACTGTGGGGTCAGTGGCGGAAAGGGAGGTTGCACGGCGACGGCCTGGCACAGCTGCAGTGGCAGAAGATAAGGAGGAAGTGGAGGATACAGGGGAAGTGAAGTTCGGTGAGAGTCGGGCGCTGGGGTCTGCAGCATAAGTCAAGCCCCGACGGAACGAGGGCGATGAATAGGTGACACCGAACTCTGGCTGGACACAGAAAGGGCATGCCGATGGCTCCGAGACCAATTGTGACTCAGCCGACTCAGCCTGCTCTCCCTCCGCTGAAGGAGCATTCGCGTCAGGCTCTCCATGCTCTGGGGGATGCGGGTCCGGGCGCTTGATCTGCACGAAGCACTCGGAGCAAATGGGTTGATCGCAGCATCGGGTACGGTTTAAGTAAGGCGGATAATAGAGGAAACAGATAGGACATTCGCTTGCGTCTTTGTACAAATTGACTTCGATCGGTTGTCCGTTGACAAATGGGTCCTTGGGAAGCTGCAGTTCCCGGGGCGTTAGATCTGTTTGTGAGCTATGCTTGGAGGTGGTCAAAGCAGCCAAGGTCTTCGCTCTTGTTCGGAAAAGAGGGGAGGTGGATGTCCCGGATGCGATCGGAGATGCGGAGGGTAGTGATTTAGGGGGGTTGGAGGATTGCGAAGCATCTGAATTATAAGATTGCGATCTGGACGTGATCGGCACTGTCAGATGTTGAATATTTGTCGGATCAGCCGAGGCTTTGTCTGTGCTCTTGGATAGTTTGTATTCTAACTCGGGCGGGATCTCATCGGGCAGGGGAATGGGCATGCCTCGTGCAGCCGCCATAATCTGATGCTCAGCCCACGACTCTGAGAAGTCATTAAGACCTCTCCAGAAAGGAGCTAGTCGGCGTTCAATCTAACCCGTTGTCAGCCTTGGCTAATTCGCATCGAGGGCGATTCTAGGCAAACCTACCATCAGTTGGCGCACCACTACCTTATTGTAGTCTTCTGTGCCCACATACACGCCCTGTGTTACGAGATAGCCTCCATCGACATGTTCCTCCTTCATACTGCGCTCCCTCTCTTTGAGCCGAGCCACCCGTTCCTTCTCCAAGCGACGGGCATCGCGCTCTTGTTTTGTCTCCCGCCGATGTTCTAAAGTGGCCACCTCTCGATCATGACTGCTGCCGATCCCAAGGATCGAAAGGTCAGGCCTACTGCCTCTTGCTGACCGAGAACCTTGATATGGGCGACTTGAGGCATCGGAAGCGCCCGGGGATAATTGATGACTTCGACGACTTGACGGGGCTGTGGAGCGTGACTCCTTGGTCTGTGAGTTTCCCATATTGGAGCTCAGAGACGAATGTAGTGAAGGGAAGGATGGCGATATCGTCGGGTTAATCCACGACAGTTCCGACAAGTCACGGTGATAACTCCCGGATATGGCGGAAAGGGCCCCCAAGGGGGGGTGTATTTGTGGGGGTGGGCAGGAGAAATGGGGGTAAAGGAGATGGGAGTAAGAAAGTTGGGAAGGAGGCTAAACGGAGAGAAGAGTGGAGGTAAGAGGAGTAACTTTCAGAGCGGGGGGGGGTTTGTGATCTGTCCGGAGTAACTGGGGAAATGAGATCGGTGAGGAATTTCTAGGACACGACCCCCATGAAGCCCAAAAGATTTCAAAGAATATTACAGATTCCAAGGTTCAAATCGAAAGAAAGAAATATCGGATGTGGCGGATGTTATTTTTGTTATTTTGTTAAATTTCTTTTACCCTTTGGGCAAGTATACCTATTTATCTCATCAAAGGTCTAGACTATGTGAATTACCAGATACTCTTAGTTCTTAACAACACAACATACAACATAGGTAGCATGTATATACACACTTCTATAGTGTAAATATAGGATAAACAGGTTAAATAGCATGCTATTTACTGATTCTCGACCAGGATCATCAGTTGATCCATCGTCATTGTCAAGTCATGGGCAGATTACACTCCACTTCCACTGCTTTTGATAGTGCGATGTATACATCATAGGCCCTAAGGTGTTACTTTGACCTGCACTTTGAGATCTCAAAAGTGTTACCTAATTAACTGTATGGATTGGAGATGAAGTCATTAGGTACATATACTTACTGAGGGAACTTTGGATAGACACAGGCAACAAGGCCAATTCAGGCCAATTCAGGCCAATTCAGGCCAAAATTTGATCGCCAACCTCGGAACTATCTCGGCCAATAGGCGTCCATATCCTACAAGGCGGTGGCATAAAATCAATGGGCATTATTTTCGCCAAAAAAAAAGATCGAGCGGTGTTGAAGCTTTGGAATCTTTCTCAATTTTATTTTGAAACATTGACATCCTCCACAGGTCATGCATTAGTGATAGCCCTACTCATTCTCACTCCTACCAAGAATCCTCTGGCAATGACTGAAACGACCAGATTGCATATCACGCCTTTCACCCAAGGTATCCTTCCGTCTGTGCTACCAGCATCTATTCGCAACTTGGCCACAGATATATCTTTCCACGAAATTTCCACCTTCCCAGAGAATAACTACGGATACGTGACTCTACCAAACATGGAGGCGGAGAAGATCAAGAAGAAGTTGAACGGCTCGATCCTCAAGGGCAAGAAGTTCAAAGTCGAGGCGGCCCGCCCTCAAAAGAGGCACCGGGAGGAAGAGGATGTGGTGCCTGAAGCCCCTTCCATTGCCAAGAAGAAGTCCAAGAAGTGCAAGAAGCAAGCGCCCGAGGACGGTGTAGTGGAAGGCTTTGAGCTTCCTGCAGACCGCAAAGTGAAACGAGGGTGGACCGAGTCCAGTGATGCCAAGCAGGAAAGACGAAAGTCGGAGAAGAAAGAGAAGAAGAGCAAGGAGGAGAAATTGCAACCCAAGTCCAAGTACACCGACAAATCCGAATGCCTGTTCCGAGCAACGGTCCCACCCAACCGAGCATCCGACGCAGCTTCCGACGATAAGAAAGCAAGGAAGAAAAAGAAGTCCAAGGATAATGTCATCCATGAATTTGAGAAAACGGTGGCCCATCCAAGCTTCCTGCGCACCGCAGAGGAAAGCGCAGCGCCTACGGCTACATTTGAAGATGGAAAAGGTTGGGTGGATGCCACCGGGAACCTGAGAGAACCCGCCAGTGAGAAGATCTCGAAGGATAATTATCGGCCTGGTCAGATTCCAGGGGCCAAGGAGAAGCGCCGAGCTGCCAAATCAGCCGCCAAAGAGACGAAAAAGCGTTCACGCAAAGCAAAGACTCCAGAGGAATCTTCCGAGTCTGAAGATTATACCTCATCGAGTGGCTCGTCTTCAGACGAGGCTACTGACTCGGAGAGCGAGGTGGATGAGAAGGCGGATGAGAACCCTGAAGATTCACCTGCATCTTCTGAAGAGGAGGATGTCAAGCCGCAATCCCAAGAGGAGACCACCAAGTCTATGGAGGCTAACGGCGCTGATGCTGATACACTGAGCCAGTCAGAATCGGATGAGATACCCACGGAGGCTACGCGAGAAGTGGAACAAGATTCATCTGCCAAGGAAGTCCATCCTCTTGAAGCTCTTTTCAAACGGGCCGCCCCGACAGCATCCGATAACCAGCCAGCTCCCGAAGCCGAAACTGGATTCAGCTTCTTTGGTAATGACATTGAATCCGAGGACGAGCCTCAAATGGCTGAGCCGCAGACACCTTTCACACCCTTCACGAAGAATGACCTACAAAACAGAGGTCAGCGCAGTGCAGCTCCCACACCCGATACTAGTGCGGCCACCCGCCACATGACGTGGAATGAGAGTGAGGACTCAGATGAGGACGTTTCGATCGAGAGCCCTGTGACAAAAGCTCACGGGAAAGCCGGTGCCAGCATGGAAGAAACCGAATTCGCAAAGTGGTTCTGGGAGAATCGCGGTGACAACAACCGAGCCTGGAAGAAGAGGCGACGTGATGCTGCTAAGGAACAGAGACAGAGAGACAGCCGGAAGAAGGGAATCAAAGGAAAGTCATGAACTCGAGACCTAGGTTTTCTGGGAAGTTGAGTGACGTGTGTCTAGACTCTGATGTGGTGCTTATACATAAACGAGGCTGCCAGTAGCCTTTCAACGACACAAATACACATACCATGTAATTTAAGCCAACTGCTTTTGACCAAACGTAAATCTGAAAACTATAAATATAAAACCTCTAGACATCTTTCGCTCCCTGGTCTTTGTTGGATGCGTACAAAGTCATGTGACCCGCAGCCATCGTCATTAAACCCAGCCAAACCAGGACTTGTCGCAATGCCCACTGCGCGCCCAGGATGTTTTCTACCTGGTCCTCACAGCGTAGCATACAGTTGCTGCTGCTGCTCTTCACATTTTTGTCTCTCACACCATTGGTAGCAGCATCCAGTAAGTGCTAGGCTTCTTTCTCTGATTCTTCTAAAGCGCCAAGTGGGAGATGGAAATGCTGTAATCGTCGCGTCGATATTTATGTGATACTTATATTCAATGCTTACAGCGCCAACCTCCTTCTGCAAATGCACCTGTTTCTCCAATAGTACGATCATCCCCCTCAATCCCTCCAAGTCCGAAACCTCCTCCGGCATCGACCACGTCCGCTTTGACGCGCGCAGCTTTCTCAGCACCGAGCTTGAGCATACGGATGAATACAGCAAACGAGCTGAGAAATACCGATCCCTGAATTGCAATGATTGCAATCGCAAGTTCTGTCTCGACTACGAGCTACCGACATGCAAAGGCGCTAAGGAGGAAGATGTGTACACGACTTGCTTCCGTAAGTGGACGAGCCAATAGGAACTGGATTGGATGCTTTAACGGATGTGCTGACGAGCTCTGGAATAGAGCGAGATTCACGGAAAGACGAGGCTGTGGTGTTTATTTTTATTTTTGCTACAGGTGGACTGCTGGCTTGGGCAGCCTGCAAGCCGTGGATTGAGCGATATGTCGAGGTAGGCCAATGCCAATGGGTGTATCTCCTTGGCAAGACTAACTGATTTAGGCTGCACGAGAACGCAGGTCATATATACCCGTTGCTGAACCCGATCGCTAACCTTGGAAATATGAAATGATTTGAAATGATCTTGAACATAATTTTGAGATATGTACTGAAATATAGGCCAGAGAGCCTAGGAATCCAAAGATTAGACGTAAATTTATTAAGGGTGACAATGAGAATGTGAGATCGACTTGTGATGGATCCAGGAATAATAGGCAGATCAATATGATATCAGTAAGAATGTCGGAGTAAAAGACTATACAACATAAGTTCAGGGGTAATATCAATACTTATCTTCGTATATCTGCGAAGGACTCCGTACTAATCGATAGATCTATTTTAGCGCTTGATTGTCACAGATCCGATCCCCACTATCTGAAACAGGGTAGATTGGAGGATGTCGTGGATCGTCAGCCAATAGATCCGATCAGTTCGAAGGGGAATGCGGTTTAATAGGATAGTCCTTTAATATGGATTTCCTTACGGAGTAGATATGTGCACATTGGATCGGCTAACAATTTAGTGAGTGGATTCAGGAAGCCAATTTTTATTTTATTTTATAATTTTTTCTTCTCTTCCTCTTTTCTATTCTTCTCTCCTTAAATCAGGCTGATCCCTTCATATTGAAGTTGATTTTTGTATATCCCGAATATATACTGGAGTATGGCTATCTTCGACTCAGAGAAGCGCCCTCGCGGCCTTCGTGTGCCATCTCTCACAGCACTGAAGTCTTCAGCAACGAAATCGCAATTCTCCTTAAAGAAATCGTCTGACACTGTGCCCTCCGACGAGTCAACCTCGCCTAAACCGGCAGCCTTCCCTGCCCCTCCACCACCAAAGCCGGCCCCTCCGCCGGACAAGGAACTCCCACTCCCCCCGAAGGGGGACATTCCAGCACCGGCCTCATCCAACAACCCATACTTCCCTCCGATCCTCCGAAATGAAGTCCCAGAACGACGCCCAATCCAGCGGGTCCCCGTCCCAACGCAGTCTCCTCCCCCTCGGACGACGGGTATGCGAACCAAGAGATCACAGCCCGATTTCCATACGCCCCAACTGCCGACTCCAATGATACCCTCTTCCCCGCCTCAAGTCCCGACCATAGTCCAAGATCCAGTTCCCGCTCCAGTTCCCGCTCCAGCTCCAGCTCCAGCCGACGAGGCCAACTCCCCCCAATTGGAAGAATTCATCCCGACTCCAGAAAGCGCCGAACCGCCACTAGCAGTGCCAGAACAGCCACGCGAGGAGCTGGCCCCCTCACCCTTTGTCCCTCCGGATGTTGAACCCGTGGCGCCGAAGTTGAACGAAATCCACCTTACGTGCTATCAGCAGCACCGCGCCATGCCCGTGGCGCAGAATACCTGGTGTCCAATGCCGTGCATGACCTGTCAGAAATTTGACATTGAGATTCGGCACCGCTGTGTGTTCTGCTGCCTGCGCATCTGCGAGTCGTGTTACCAAACCCTGCAGAAATGCAACAATCGTTCGGTCGAGGAACTGGTCGATCGAATTGTCGCTTGATTCGTTGATATCCTTTCGTTTCGAGGTGTTGATATGGTTGTGGTGCGCTGGCATGAATCTCGAGAGCATATATTGCATGATCTCGGCATATATTGCACGATCTCTGGCGCAGGGAGCACAGGTCCTGTTAAGGCTGTTAGCTACATTTTCCTTTTTCCCCCTTCTTATCTGTATACCTTTTTTTATGATACCAAGGACCTCGTGTACATTATGGTTTAACCAGGAGGACCGAAGCTGCATGTTAATAATGAATACTTTTTCTTTTTTGTTTTTGCATCCGCGACATAAGTGTAGCCTTTCGTAGAGATACAAATTCATAAGAAATCGTCAGCTTATCGCTGTGCCAAGAACATTCCCATATGGTACAAACGGCTCTGATCAATCATGATCCTCCTCGGTCAGGCCGGGACACCCTTCCAGCTCAAGATCGGTTTCGTAGGCATATTTACACCAGAAACAATACCGATATGTCTCACGCAGAAAGAGAACCAGCTTGCGTAACCGCTCAGCTGGCTCTAGCGCATTGAAGGCATCGAGCTCCTCGTCGTCTTCTTCCAGCTCTATCTCCAGTGTGGAGGTATTCTGATCCAGTTCACTACCAAGCGCCTTTTTATCTTCCCGGTCCATAGTCGGGTCATCGTATTCTGGTAGCCGTGCTTTGGGGAAGAATGATGAAGGGAGTGACGATTGGAGAGCATGGCGTGTCTGGCGGTCACTGTCGTTCCGTTCGCGCTCACGCATAAGACCGCGGTAGAGGACGTTGATTTGGGACGTGGGCTTGACTGGCTTCTTTTTTATCGCTGCATCGGGTCCATCGCGTGGTTGACCAGGATCCGCGGAGTCACCACCCTCCTTGTTGGAGTTGGCCGAGGACCCTGTTCCTTGTTCTTTCTCTTCGTCGGTAGCCCCACTCTCCAATTCCTCATCCAGCCTCTCTGCAACTTTCTGTGCAGCGCGCACCTGCGCTTCGAGGCGTTTCAACTCGCGCTCTTCACGAACGCGATCTCGGTAACTTCCTTCCTCATGTTTGATTCTCTTTGCTGATTCTTCTGCTGCTTCACGGAGCTTGCGCTTTTTTTCCGTGTCCAACCCGATCCCGCCGCGGTTTTCCTTCAAAGTTAGGTTCAGCGGTTCGGCGCGCGCCTTTAGGGAAGAGTCGGTGTTGGTAGTGTCAGAGTCGCTGGGTGTAGCAGGTTTTCCAAGTACATCACCGGGTTTGAACCCAAGCTTTGCCATCATTTGGAATCCTTTGTTATTGGGGTTGAGGGTGCTTGTGGCCAAGGCTTCTTCTCGGCGGACGGCTTCCCGAGCGGCGCGTTCGGCTTTGGATGGGACTCGGCCTCGGGCTTCGGCCTGCATATGGAAAAGAATGTTAGAATTGGTTTGGAATTTGGAATTCAGCCGGAGACAGATAGATATGTTAGAATGTGGAGGATACGCTACCTCTCGTAGTTCCCGGCGCTTTTTTTGTGCAAAGGTCTCCTTTTGAGTGGGCTCCTCAATAACCATGTTCATATAGTCGTCTTCATCTTCTGAGGCCATCGTGGTGCCAAGAGTTAAGGTATGGTCTGGAGCCTAAAGAAAGAGGGTGTGTAGAGAGAAAAAGAGATCCGCAGGCGGACAAGGAAACCGCTTTGGGATTTTGCGGGGAACAGTGGGGCTCGACTATTTAATTAATTCAAGATGAGGCTCTATTATATACTACATAGGTACCTTAATCTATATTATTTAATACAGAGTTTGTAAAGAGATATCTTTGGTCCTTTATTGAAATATGAATATTGGATTAGAACCTGTATGTTAAACAAAGAAACTATCTAACTAGATATGTATAGGTATGCAGAGGACAACCCCTCTACCTGTCTTTGCTTAGACGTTTAGACCGGATGGTTTCGGATTCCTTTGAATGTCTCACTATCTTAGCCCAAAAACTGTGTGGTACAAAGTGTATATTACTACATGGTTGCTTTTTATAGCAAAATACCTTCGAAGAGCACTTGGGTACCTAAATCATGGATTTTGTTCCTAACACCTACTTCTGAGGCCGAATAGTCTGCTGACCGCTAGGTACATCCATCTATCATATCTTCCACGGATGCTGTTCTTCCCCGTACAGATAGATCCCTTGCTGCACATGTGACATGTCCCCGCAAGCGTCTATATGCATACCTGGCGCAAGGGCTTTGTCCTCGGATTACACTCCGGTAGCTGAGTTTTGTGCGTTGTCACGGTGACTTCGATGGACAAGGGTCGGCTTTTCTTTTAATGTCCGCGGGGCCCTTTATAAGCCATGGCATCGACCGGTTCACAATCAGGCTGTCGGTCACTATGGCTATTTTCTTGTATATCTGCTTTTTGCTATCCCTAGCCTCCGCTTCTACAGTGGTAGACCTGGGCTATGCTAGATATGAGGGTCGAACACTATCCACCGGAGTCACACAGTGGCTTGGCATGCGATTTGCTGCTCCTCCTGTAGGGGATCTGCGGTTTGCTGCCCCGCAGGATCCTTTGTCTGTCGAGGGAATACAGCAAGCAACTGAGGTATGTATCTATTGCCTTTACTTATTTATAGGTGGCTACTGACCATTCCTTACTAGCATGGAAGTATATGCATCCCCACAGCAGGAAGTGAAGGCCAGGCAGTCCCAGCAGGAACTTCAGAGGACTGTCTGTTCCTTGATATATATGCTCCCGCGGCTGCAGCAAACGGTTCAAAGAAACTACCTGTCTTCTTTTGGATCCAAGGAGGAGGCTTTGCAGTCAATTCAAATGCCAACTATAACGGCACTGGGTTGATCAAGGCATCCGGAGACAATATAGTGGTGGTCACTTTCAACTATCGGGTTGGACCTTACGGGTTTCTTGCCGGAGAAGAGATTGAAAAAGGGGCCAGTCTGAACAATGGTCTGAAAGACCAACGCAAGGCACTGAAGTGGGTTCAGAAGCATATCAGCAAAGTAGGTCAAGTGGTCATTCCTCGTTCTTCTCATGGCTTCGCTGTTTGATATCTGGTTCTGACACTGTCTCTAGTTTGGCGGAGACCCCAAACATGTTGTCATTGGTGGTAGTAGTGCAGGTGCTGCCTCAGTGACTCTCATGCTCTCCGCATATGGTGGCAGAGACGAAGGTCTGTTTGTTGCAGCTGCTGCAGAGTCGCAGAGCTTTGCGCAGATGCTCAACGTCACCGAAAGTCAATTCGCATACGACGCACTGGTAACCGCGACTGCATGTGACAGTAGTCAAAATACCCTGGCATGTCTGCGCAATCTCGATGTCAATGTTTTGCAGCAGAAGAACGTCAACAGACCCCACCCAGGAGCAAAAGGGAAGCCGTTATACCTGTATGGTCCCACAATCGACGAGGACCTGGTGCCAGACTACACCTACCGCCTCTTCCACCAAGGCAAATTCATCAAGGTACCGGTGATATTTGGCGATGACACCAATGAAGGCACGAAGTTCGTCCCCAAGAGCACCTCTAGTGTCGACGAGGCAGATACGTTCATCCAGAACCAATTTCCAGCAATAACACAGGTCCATGTTGGCAAGATCAATAGTATATATCTTACTCCAGACCAGACGGAGGAATTCCCTGGTGCTGGGCCCTACTGGCGGCCGGCAAGTACGGCGTACGGGGAAATGCGCTACATCTGTCCCGGAATTGACTTGTCTTCTATTTACGCCACGGCAGGTGTCCCAAGCTGGAACTACCACTACGCAGTTCAGGACCCCGCCGACGAGAGCTCGGGTGTGGGCACACCACACACCGTCGAAGTGAACGCGATATGGGGTCCGACCAATACTAACAAAAAGGCTCCAGCTTCGTACTACACCACCAACGCAGGCGTCGTGCCTGTGATGCAGGGTTACTGGACAAGCTTCATTACGTCCCTGGATCCGAACACCAGACGTCTTCCTTCAGGTCTGAAATGGCAGACTTGGGGTCAGGGTGGTGATGGATATCAGCGGATCTTCATTCGAACCAACGCGATTAAGATGGAGACGGTGCCACAGGGACAGAGAAGCCGATGTGAATACTTGACTAGCATTGGTCTTGATTTGAAGCAGTAGTACACAGTATACATACCCCTTGGAAGTAAATGGAACTGTGAATATCCTTGATCTACTTTGGATTAGTCGATTCCTCTTACTAAATATGGGCTAGCGGACTTCGTAGATATTGTAGACCTCGATGAACATGACTTTTATTCCCAGTTTTACGCCAGCTAAGCAATGATGTATCTACCAGCCCAACAGGACGTACAACCAAGTGTGATATATGAAAATGGAAAAGGAGTTGATATGCAAGATTACCGCCTGCCACGAGCCCGCTCGTACTCGTTGGCGGCACGGCCTTCCTGGCTTTGAATCTCCGCAACAAGACGCTTGTACTTCTTCTCGTACTCGGCATCGCGCTCCTTCTTCTCGCGCAGTTGCTCGCGAGCAACGAAGCTGGCGTCCTTGCGGAGCTCGCGCATGGCACCCTTGCGCTCGCGCTTGAACTCCTTCTTGAGGCGGTTGGATTCGGCACGCTCGCGGTCTGGATCGTAGTGCTTGTCCGGGTTGAAGTTCTCCTCGAATTTCGGAATGGCTGTCTTGATGGCTAGGGGTTTGTGGTCGTGCAGGAACAACGGGCGACGAACGAGACGAGCCTGTGCGAGGTGGGAATCGATATTGTCCAGGGTGCTCTGGATGGGCTCCTGGGCTGCTGCATATACCTTGCCCTTGAGGGATTGGCGGAGGTACTGCAGAACGGCACGGACCGGTGTGAAAATCTCGGTGAAAGCAGATTTCTCGGCCCAAATATCGGAGGCGGAACCAAGGAGAGACACTAGCGTAGTGAGGAGGGAGATCTTCAGCTCCTCCTGTGCCTGAGGATCAGAAGGAGAGGTGGTCACATCGCGGAATTGCAGCTTGCGAGGTGTGACCTTCTTGGAAGACACAAGCTGAACAGATTCCTGTGACTTTCTGTAGGGGAAGGCTCCAAACTTGACAATCGGCTCCGTAGGAGCAAGATTGCAAAGAGCATTTAGGGTGTAGTTGACAAACTCGGGCATATATCTCTTCGAGACCTGTTGATATTGGAGGCAAAGACTTGCGGCGAATGTACCACTTGCAAGGTCCGCAAGCGAGGCGGTGGTGCACTGGCCCAGGTACCGCGCCAGGCAGAGATGAGCGGGTGTGGCTGTAGTATGGAAATGATCTGATGTGGGGAAGAAGGTTGAAAGACCGGTAAGCAAGATGAGGTCACCCGGCAGCAGATTGAGCGGGCGTTCCTTGCCAATCTCACGAAGTTGAGCTCGGCACGCGATTGTCACATTCAAAGGATGGACCTTAGCCAAAGAATGGATGTGACGAATGATATTCTCCAAAATGGCAAATGGAGGCTGTTTAGTCTTGTTACCCATGTAAGAAACATGTTCAACAAGAACTTCAGCAAATCGACCAAGCTTGTCCTTGTTGCCAGGCTTAAGCCGGGGATGATGTAATGCTCGAATGCGCTGGATGACTGTCGGGATTTCTTCGACAGCCACGTTCTTTGTGATACTCAGGAAGCTTTCGTGGTCCTTTGGACAAGGATACGTGAATGCGAGCTTTCCGTTTGCTTCCTTGCTAACCTCGGCAACAGTCGAAGCGGCAGCGGAATCCTCTGTCGGTAGCGTCATTCCGTTGATGAGCTCGTCCTCCCCATCCAGTCCGTCAGACTCATCGCTCGACGAATCTTCGTCCTCCTCTTCCATGTCACTGTCGCCCATGTCGAGGCTGGCATTTGAATTTGTCTCAACGAGATCTTCGTCAATGATGAAATCATCTTCATCTTCAACGCCGAGTTCAGGGCGTGCTTCAGTAGGGTAAGCTGGCAGGCCGAAATGCGCAGCATCGTCAATTTCCGACTCATCATCCTCAGGAATTTCGTCCTGATCCATATTATCCTCCTCGTCGTCAGTGAGCTGCTCTCCACGCATTCGTCGAAGGCGATCGTTCTCCAGTTTCTTGAGCCGCTCGGCCTCTTCCTCCGCCTTCTCCTCTTCGGTCTTCGTGCGATCTGTGGGCTTTGATCGCTGGTCGAATGTCATCTGCCTGAGGCGTTGATCGTATTCCTTTTCTGGATCCTTGCTGTTTTGCGACTCTTCGAGCATGGCAGCACGCTCTGGGTTCATCTCTGAGAAATCCTGCTTCGGTGCCTCTGGCTTGGCTGGCTTGGTTGCAGGCTTAATGCCTCGCAGAGCCTCGAAAAGATCAGGAAGCTCTTTGTCCAATTCTTCCCGTAGGTCTTCATCATCGTCTTTAGCCTGTTGCCGTTCCGCTTTGTAGAACTTAGACTTGGCAATGACTTCTTTCATAACCTCGGCCTTGGTCTTTTTGCGCCCTGGCTGTTCTTCGTCTCCATAGTCGATGAAGTCCTCCTGGTCCTGATCCTGGTTTTCGTCGCCATCGGGGAACCGCTTTCGTTTCCGCGACGCTTCCTCGTCGGACTCCGCGTCTTCCAAGTCTCCGGCCTCAAAGTCGTCTTGGTTCGGTCCATCGAACGACAAAGATTG